TTTTCCACAAGTTCAAGGAGTTGACTACGATGAGATTTTCTCATCCGTAGCGATGCTTAAGTCCGTCGGATTCATGTTAGCATTAGCTGCATTTATGAAATCTGGCAGATGGATGTCAAAACGAGTTTCCTTACCAGTTTTCGTAAGGAAAGGTTGTATGCGATACAATCAGAAAGGTATTGTCGATCCTAAGGATGCTAAAAGGTATGCTAGCTCCAGCAATCCTTCTAAGGACTGGAGTAAGCATCTCGGAGTTGGAATGTGCGCTTTGATGAGATGATCAAAGATTTTGGGTTTATACAAAGTTCATGAGAAACTTGTATTTCCAAAGAAGTGAGTGGGAGCACTATAGAATTTCTGATGAGTATATGTTGATCAGAAATGATGTAGAATTTCTAGAAAGCATATAGGGTTATTTGAAAGGTGTTTTTCAATAGAAAACCTGGATTAAGCTACTTGAACATTGAGCATCAAGATCTATAAGGATAGATCAAAATGCTTAATAATACTTTCAAATGAGCACATACCTTGACATGATCTTGAAGGTGTTCAAGATGGATCAGTCAAAGAAGGAGTTCTTGCCTGAGTTGTAAGGTACGAAGTTAAGACTTAAAGCTCGACCTCGGCAGAAAAGAGAGAAAGGACGAAGGTCGTCTCCTATGCTTAAGACATAGGCTCTACAGTATGCTATGTTGTGTACCGCACCTGAAATGTGCCTTGCCATGAGTCAGTCAAGGGGTACAAGAGTGATCTAAGAATGGATCACAGGACAGCGGTCAAAGTTATCCTTAGTAACTAGTGGACTAAGGAATTTTCTCGATTATGGAGGTGATAAAGAGTTCGATGTAAAGAGTTACGTCGATGCAAGCTTAACACCTATCCGGATAGCTCTGAGTAGAGATACCAGATACGTATAATGGAGCAACAATTTAGAATAGCTCCAAGTAAAACAGTTATTTGGAATGGCTCCAAATGTAGCGTAGTAGTTGCATCTAGGAGATGACATAAAGATTTGTAAAGCACACACGGATCTGAAAGGTTCAGACCCATTGACTAAAACCTCTCTCACAAGCAACATGATCAAACCCAAAACTCTTTGGATGTTGGTCACATGGTGATGTGAACTGTCAGTGTTAATCACATGGTGATGTGAACTAGATTATTGACTCTAGTGCAAGTGGGAGACTGTTGGAAATATGCCCTAGAGGCAATAATAAAAGTGTTATTATTATATTTCTTTGTTCATGATAATAGTCTTTTATTCATGCTATAACTGTATTATCCGAAAATCGTAATACACGTGTGAATACATAGACCACAATATGTCCCTAGTGAGCCTCTAGTTGACTAGCTCGTTGTGATCAACAGATAGTCATGGTTTCCTGGCTATGGACATTGGATGTCGTTGATAACGGGATCACATCATTAGGAGAATGATGTGATGGACAAGACCCAATCCTAAGCCTAGCACAAAGATCGTGCAGTTCGTATGCTGAAGTTTTTCTAATGTCAAGTATCTTTTCCTTAGACCATGAGATTGTGCAACTCCCGAATACCGTAGGAGTGCTTTGGGTGTGCCAAACGTCACAACATAACTGGGTGGCTATAAAGGTACATTACAGGTATCTCCGAAAGTGTCTGTTGGGTTGGCACGAATCGAGACTGGGATTTGTCACTCCGTGTAAGCGGAGAGGTATCTCTGGGCCCACTCAGTAGGACATCATCATAATGTGCACAATGTGATCAAGGAGTTGATCACGGGATGATGTGTTACGGAACGAGTAAAGAGACTTGCCGGTAACGAGATTGAACAAGGTATCGGTATACCGACGATCGAATCTCGGGCAAGTAAAATACCGCTAGACAAAGGGAATTGTATACGGGGTCGATTGAGTCCTGGACATCGTGGTTCATCCGATGAGATCATCGTGGAACATGTGGGAGCCAACATGGGTATCCAGATCCCGTTGTTGGTTATTGACCGAAGAACGTCTCGGTCATGTCTGCATGGTTCCCGAACCCGTAGGGTCTACACACTTAAGGTTCGATGGCGCTAGGGTTATAAAGGAAGTTTGTATGTGGTTACCGAATGTTGTTCGGAGTCCCGGATGAGATCCCGGACGTCACGAGGAGTTCCGGAATGGTCCGGAGGTAAAGATTTATATATGGGAAGTCCTGTTTCGGCCATCGGGACAAGTTTCGGGGTCATCGGTATTGTACCGGGACCACCGGAAGGGTCCCGGGGGCCCACCGGGTGGGGCCACCTGCCCCGGGGGGCCACATGGGCTGTAGGGGGTGCGCCTTGGCCTATATGGGCCAAGGGCACCAGCCCCAAGAGGCCCATGCGCCAAGGAAACTTGGGGAGGGAAGAGTCCTCAAGGGGGAAGGCACCTCCGAGGTGCCTTGGGGAGGATGGACTCCTCCCCCCCTCTTGGCCGCACCCCTTCCTTGGAGGAAGGGGCAAGGCTGCGCCTCCCCCCTCTCCCTTGCCCCTATATATAGTGGAGGGGAGGGAGGGCATCCATACCAGAAGCCCTGGCGCCTCCCTCCCTCTCGTGACACCTCCTCCTCTCCCATAGGTGCTTGGCGAAGCCCTGCAGGACTACCACGCTCCTCCATCACCACCACGCCGTTGTGCTGCTGCTGGATGGAGTCTTCCTCAACCTCTCCCTCTCTCCTTGCTGGATCAAGGCGTGGGAGGGCTGTACATGTGTTGAACGCGGAGGTGTCGTCCGTTCGGCACTAGGATCTCCGGTGATTTGAATCACGATGAGTACGACTCCTTCAACCCCGTTCTCTTGAACGCTTCCGCTTAGCGATCTACAAGGGTATGTAGATGCACTCTCCTTCCCCTCGTTGCTGGTTTCTCCATAGATAGATCTTGGTGACACGTAGGAAAATTTTGAATTTCTGCTACGTTCCCCAACAGTAACAGCCCACAAAATTCAGACCAATTGACATGCGGTGCTCGACGCTGAACCGATTCTAACCAACGAGCTGCAGTTCCCTCGAATTGTGAAGATGCAAACGAAATCCACTGGTGCTGAGGAGTATTCCAAAATCTGAAATAGTCCTCACAACGAGACTGCCACAGTTTCGGATTCGAACCATCAAATCACGGAAGCTCAATTCGAGGACCAAAATTCACGGCATCCGGAATGAAGGCTCAAAAATTCTCAGCAGCAGGAATCAGATGTCGCGACGGGGCTGGATCCGTGTGCATAGCTCAAACTGGAGGAGGAACATAACGGGGACCCGAGCTCTTCTGCTCCAAATCAGCTCGAGCCCTGTCCGCCCCGTTCGAACCACCGTTCGCTGGTGCTGGCGGGGGTCCTTGACCAGGTTCCCTCGGTGAGACGGGCGTCGACGTCGCCGGGGTAGATCCTCGTTCACCCCCGAGTTCGTCGCGCAACTCGTCGAGGTCGACGCCGACGGCGAGCTTGACCTCGTCGAGTCGACCGGAGAGCTGATCCAACTTGCTGTCTAGCTTGGCGAAGGCGTTGACCACCTCCTCGCTGCGCTCCGTCGAGGCCTTGCCGAGGGCGGCGTCGAAGTCCGCGCACAGGAACTCGTAGATCGTACGTGTCTCCAGGGAAATTTTTTCCATGGTTTCTGCTCGGCGACGTACGGCGAGGCGGGTGTGGCGGGGAAAATTGGCCGGCTCCAGGATTGAACGGCTCTGATACCAGATTGTGAGGTCTAGGGTTTGTATTTAGCCATAGCCATGGATTCGAGCTACAAGAAGGATTACAAGGGGAATTGCTCTCGCAGGAGCCACACACCACACACGCCACCTAGCCGTTATCCTCTTCGCCCCGTTCGTCCGCCTTGAGCTGGAGTATATGTAGTGAAGCGTTCTAAGCCATTCTAGCCCAGCTAGCCGAGCCGGAAGGCGAGGCTGCCTCCTGGGCCTGCACGTCTCTCCAGCTGGCTTCTGCCCACCACAGGTTCGCTGACAGGCTTTCGCCCGGGATTCCTCCTCTCCAGAAGAGCTTGCATATGTTGGAACTGCCTCCAAGAAGGGGAACAACGCCCGAAGGCGCAGCCACAAACTCATGGTTAGGGCATGACTTTCACCGAGAACCCTTCGTATCCCATGAGAAGAGCTTGTATATCTGGGAATTGCATAGAATGCCCCTCAAGATGACCCCGGAGCCGATGGAAGAAGGGTAAACTCAAGTTGTTGCCCGAATGTTGCCATCTAACGGCATCTCCAACGCTGACCCTCAAACCGGACACCGCATCCGTCTACCCACAGCGGGGATCAGTCCATGGACAGGAATGCGGGAGCCGGCCATCCAAAGCTAGCCGCATACATCCACCCCCAATGTCTTTTTTTTTCAGTCTGCACACTCTAAATAGCTGCATATCAAGTTTCAGTTTAGCTAAAAATTGTTCAACTTTTTATATGCAACAGTAGTTCTAATTTAAATGCAGTTGTGTCATATGCAAGCATCCGCAATGCAGCCGTGCATTTCTTGTAACCAAAGAACCCAATCCTTTCTACTACATCCTTCTTCAAGATGGAGATGTCATGGTAGAGACGATCAAAAATATTTTTCCGCATCCGGTCAGCAAAAATTATAAACGGATAGGGCATCAGGGGCAAAGTAGTCATCTATCAGTGTCAAATGGCCGCTTAAACCTGGAGGCCATCATCTCTCAGACCGAAGAAGCGGGCTCGTCGGAGCACACCATGTCTGCCCATGGCTAACGTGACGTCACTACTTAGTTCAAGTCTTGGTGTTGCAAGGCGAGTTATAGCATATTTTGTGCACTTCAAAGAAAACCAGGAACAATTCATCTGTAGAAACATGTGACAGTTTTTCATAACGAATGCATCACAAATTATTCGTTCACAGGACCGCGGCACATTCTTCACGGCTGACGCGCACGACACCAGCTAGCGTCAACAGTTGATACAATGACTTTATTATATTTCCTATATAATCCCTATGCTCATATGGCCCCAGTGCCATACGAAATGTCCTATAGTATATCTACGCACGCCCGATCTTCTCCACCAGGCGTCTCTCGATCTCCATCCTCTTCTTCATGAGCACCGTGTACTTCTTCAGGAGCTCCCTGCCCTCCTCCCCCGGCGCCGGGACCGCCAGCTTTGCGCCCAGCGAGGTCTTCTCCAGGTTGCCCGTGTACATCCGGGAGATGGGAACAAAACCTCCTTCCTCCTTGCACAGCCACCCGTGGGCGGCTCTCAGAGCTGCACCCAGCGAGGCCGAATCTGTTCGAGTTCCACAAGCAGTATCAGTTCTTCTATTCTTGTTTTTTTTTTTTTTTTTTGGCGCCAGTAGATAGCTTTACGACTTTGCGCAAATTTTACGGAGGTACAAAGGAGAGTTTTGACGTACCAGGTCTCTCAACTGTGAAGACAGGGCAGCCAAAGATTTGCGCGATCAACTTGAGGATGCTCTCATTGGAGGATGCCCCACCAGTTGCTATGATCCGCTTTGGTGGGTTGGGCATGCCAAACCGCTCGGCATGCCCTCTCATGGACAACATCTGACCCTCGACGATGGCATGGACCTATGCGCAAGGAATCACGAGTGTGAGACTCATTTATTTGTCACCAGTATCATATCATATAAAGTTAAGAGAATGATAAGACCGTTAAGGCTACCTCAGATTGTGGATCAAATTCTTGCACCTCATGCTCCTTCAGATTATTAGATGAGGCGTCATTGAAATTCTCGACAATGTATCGGTGGAAACCAACTGCGTCGAACAAGCAAATTTGTACAAGGTTATAAGTTATAACTCACAAGAGAAATGGACAAAATTTAAAAAATGTTATTACATGATTACCAGGAAGAGGAGGCAGGATCTCATGGTCTTTGTAGTAGAATCCTAACTTCCCACCTATACGACAAAATATAGATGAATTTCATGATGTCAGAAACTTAGAATCACACTTCATTCACTCTCAGTGGTGACAATAAGCATGAGGAAGCTTTTAACCATTGATAAACTACAGAAAATTAGCAGGCCTGAAAACAAATCATGGTTCAGAGAGTGGTAACACATTCAAAATTTTAATATATATGCGCTAAAAATATTAGCAATAACATCTTGGAACAGAAAAGACCAAGAAAACTTCTGCAAGAACTTACCATTCAGAGGGGGTGTTTTCTCTAGATAGTTGTTGAAAACATCCCACGATTTTTCTGCGCACTGATTCCGCACATCTGAAATAACATTGAGAGTAGTGTCAGCAAAGTAATAGTAGCAAGCCCAGACTTTTCAAACATTACAAACCCATTTAGAACTTCCAATTTTTTTGTGAATTCCACATGAACATGCAGATACTCTCTACATACTTGAAATTTTTTATCAATAAATATTTTTATTTGTGCGTACATAGTGACCATCTGCATGTACATGTATTTTCTCTCTCCAGATTTTAACAGAACTCCAAAATGATTTTCTTTTTGAACTTTTAAAAGCCAGGCTCCATGGATCCTGGGATCGAATTGTAGTTTCCTGATGCCATGCATCGCAATACAGATAGAAGGATAACAGTTTTATACCTTCCCGGGTCAATGAGCCATTTTTGTAACATAGCATCACCATGTAACCATCCGGTTCAACAGGGTTGGGGAAAACATGGCCTTCAAGGCTTGGTTTAGCTTCGGCAGTAATCCCAAAAACCTAAAATACAATTAGGAGATAAGTATAACAGCAGCTTGAAAAAGAAAATACAACGAAACTGAAACAGGATCCTTGCAACTCACTGTGTCACTAGTACCAAGGCTGATTGCAAGATCGCCAGGTGTATTCAGTGTTAAACCTACAATAGATGCAATTGTCCAATGGAATGTTAATGATGAATAGAGGAAAGTAATAATCAGTTGCTGCTAATTGGGCTGTGATTGTTAAATGATACTCCCTCCGTAAACTAATATAAGAGTGTTTAGATCACTATTTTAGTATTCTAAACGCTCTTATATTAGTTTAAGAAGGGAGTACATAACAGCTGCATTGAAAATGACAACACCAGCAATTCATAAAAGAATCAAAGAAATGACAGTGAAGTACCTGCAAGGCTATTGGGATTGTCACCTGACCACTGAATAACCAAACAGTTCTTGTCAAACTGATGCCTGCAAATGCATATTGCATCAATAAACTTATGGGATGATGCTACAAATAATCTTCATTGCTTCTGCCATTAGGATTGCATTTGTTAAGACCATTAAGCTAGCTTACCTGTTAACAAATTATTTCAATAATATAGGGTGCCTAAAATCTAATTACTAATAGATTCCCTTTGACAGCGAAAAAGAAAATTGACAGAAAATACTGGAGTTACAGATTTGCAGGTGTACACTTAATTACCAAGTGGCATAAAAAGAACGTAACCATATTTTTACAGATGCACCAAAGAGTGCAGCAGTAAAACAAGAACCCACCTTTCTACAAAATATGAAGAAATCCGACCTGCAGCTGCATATGCCGGTGCCAGATTTCCCAGCTTCTGTTCAAGATCAGGAGCAGTTGCCTGGAGGAGGAAGTGCACAATTTGATATTCTATTCTTAGAGAAATGTGAAATTTATTTAAAATATTTTTTATATTCAAGCCATTCAAGATATCTGGTTGTAGCTAAACAGACAAGGGCCAAACCTCTAAAACAGCTTTTGACCAGGTCCTCTGGTTTATATCCATCAAGTTCATCCCAGCACCATCAGTTTCATCAATACTTGCATAGCATCCAGCAAGGATAGATGCCATGAATGAGCTCACCAAAGATATTCTCTCGGTATTTTCATAAATATGGGGTGCTGTTTGGTAGATCTTCCGTATCTGGGGCCCGGTGAATCTCTCATAGGCACGAGACCCTGTCAGCTTAGATAACTCCAATGCTCCTCCGACAGCATTTTCTATTTCTCTGCATTGCTTGGTGGTGCTACTGTCCATCCATATTGGCGAGTCCATGGTAGAAAAGGCATCCTTAAGCTGAGATACCAAGCTCTTACCAGGATCCAGGGAAGACAGCACAGCTTGACTACCCTTCTTCCAATAAACGCTGCCATGCTGTTGCCCACTCCCTGAAACGGCCACAACCTTACTGAAGTTGATCTTTGGTTTTAGTTTCTCAAGAAGCAGTTCCAAGGCCTCCACCCACATTATGGTTGGTGAATATATACGGCCGTCATCTGTAGGATCTCTGTAGACCCCACCCTCGGTTTTGTAGTGCGGTAACTCGGAGTCAAAATTAACAGTTTCAGAAGCGACTATTATTAACTCATTGCTGAGCACAGTAGCTTTCACAGACCTGTAACATAAGATTGCAGAATTAGATCCCACAATGGTGGTAAACTGCACAATTATCATGATAACAAAAGGAAAAAAGTACAAGCACATCTGAAGCCAATGGTGGGTGCATTGCCGGGTAAATAGATCAAGGCTTTATCAGCATGCGGCATCTAAAAGAAAAGAAACAGCATGCCCAAGATGCACCCTTGGTCTGTTGCCTGTGTATGGTTTAAAAGGAGTGAGGAACGTAGGTGATTAGCATGGACATAGAGCTGAACCCAGAACCTGACACATAAGTGTCTGCATCTATAAAACCTCATATCTCGTAATTAGATCTTCACACCAGCTATTCTCATTAACATTCCAGGTTTTTCTGGATTCAATCTTGTGCGGAAACCTTTCAATTACGAACTTAGAGAACATATATCCCTGCGTACCACTGCCTTACATCTAACATCTTCAGTTAGGCACCACAAATACTAGAGAACCGGATAATCTTTATCACCAAAGAGTACAGTTGTACGCACCAACATTTCTCTTCCACAAAAGGCAGTTGCAATTCAACCTCACACCTCCTCGATCGCCCGCATCATGCCCATCGACCAGAACGAGGATCAACATCCGGTTCGCACGAACAAGTTACAGAAGACCCCGCGTCCAAACAGCCAAAAGCAACTGAAGAAAAGACGCAAGAAAAGGGATAAGGAGGACTCACTGAGTGGAGCTGTCCAGTCCGAGGAAGAGGGCGCCATCCGGGAGGGAGCTCCGCCCGACCATGGCTGCCGGCGACCGGTCCGCCTCGTCGGCACCCACGGAAATCCCCTGCTGCTCCGGGCACGACGGCAGGCGACGCGAGCCGGGAGGGGAGGAATCAGACGGATCGGGGAGGGAGAGCAGGTAGCGCCGAAGTGGACTGATCGACCAACAAACAAACAAATATAACCCGTAGGACTTGGTGGGATAAGGACGGCGCTATCCAGCTAGGATGAGATCAGGGAGCGGCCATGCCGGAGCCATTCCGTTTCGGGTCGCGCGCAAGGATCGCTCACGTCATCATTATCTACTCATCCCTGCTGCTGCGTTCAGGTTTCGTACTTTCCCGAGGGTGGGCATTTTTTTCTTTTTTTCTTTTCTGGGTGGGTCTCACGTCCATGGGAAGCCCGGTCTGGCCGGCCCGGCCCGACGCTGCCCCCAGGCCGGGCTCAAGCCTAGATTTTGAGCCCGAAGGCTGGGCCGGGCCGGGCCCAGGCCCGTCGTTTTTATATTTTCTTGAAGGTCGGGTCAGGCCAGCCCGAAGCCCGACGGGCTTTTATGTGTTCGGGTCGGGCTCGGGCCCAGAAAACAGGCCCGATGGCCGGGCCTGGTTTTTTTGCGTCGGGCTTGGCTAGGCCCGGCCCGAGGTATGGCCAGGTATACTCTCACGTGTAGGTGACATGTTTTTACTAGGAATTTTCATTTTTCTCTGTTGGGTCCCATTTGTAAGCCATAGATAAGAGACTCGAGGAGAGTTGCTGTGTCTACCTGGTCGCCATAATAACCGCTATTAATAAAAAGATTTTGGCCGAAAAGATACTCTGATATAGTAGGATCGTCATAATTTATGAAGCGTTCTCCATATATGAATTCTCAATCGCCATATATGGCGGCGTATCATGGGGCGTTTTGGTGGTTATGTGTGATCTTGTGTGGCGCGAAAAAGACTTCATGTGGCCCTGGCTTCACGTGGGATGGTAGAAGGTAGGGAAAAAAGAATGTCTCATTGTCGAGTGGATCCCACGATCATGGAGGCAACAAATATTTAATTTTGTGTTTGCGTGTTGCCTTCGCAACCTTCATATTCATACGAAACGTGTTCCATATGCGATATGATTGTTGTTAATGTGACGACTCTGCTAGAGCTGCTCTAAGAGAAGAGAACAAATGATTTTAATTATATGCCTATCTGTAAGGAGGGGGCAAAATTGCCCTAGAAATGTATATGTCATGGTTAAAGGACTTTGAGTGACGGAACCGAGACGACAGGAAAAACCATAAGAGCACCTACATTGCATTCTTTTTCTTGCCTCTAAGACTGCCTGTAACAAAAAAACTGAGCACCGTAAGCTAAGAAGTTGCCTTTAATGAATGAAATATTAACATCTCAACATGTAAACACATACAAGTGGAGAATTTTGCAAATGGCACTGCTGCAGAAAGGGCCTAAGATGACACATGTACTACACACCATTTGATCAAACTATGTGCGATGCACGAATTGCAAACGTATGAAAATAAACTCTTGTGCCAGAAAACGAAACGTGTGTGATGACCCATCCATCGGGCACGTTTTGGTACACAGACCGTGTGTGATAACGGCACACGGAAAATTGTCCTCGTGCGTGTTCGATATGTTGTCATAACGCAGACGATTCTGGATTCATAATTGTGGGTGTTGATTGGCAAACACTTTGCAAAAACTAAGTATGTGCAATGACTTAAAGTAGCGCACACGGTCGACTTCAAGATTACGTGTGTGTGCGCAACGAGTTCAGAGGTACATAAACGGGTTTTGAAGGACACTCGTGTGCGATAATTATAGATAGACATACGATTGATTGTTGTGAATTATGTGCTCTACAGGGAGCACAATCGAAGAAAATCAATTGTGTGCCATAATGTGAAAGACGTTGTTGATTTAGTATTATTAATCATTTGCGATTAGATCGACAAGAGAAACACACCCCAACCGTCTCCTCGTCGACAAGAATCTTTCGCGAAGCCTCTCCGGTCTCCCATCCTACCCCGCCGTCGCCGTCGCCGTCATCTCCGCCTGCGACTCCTCGCCAGACGAGAGAACCTTTTCCAGAACTGGGAAGCTGCCTGTCCCTCCCCCGTGCGGCGGCGCCGCCCCGCACCGGGGAGCCCCCGCCCTCCTCCTACAGCCTCGCCCTCCTCCGCTCCCCTCCGCCGCCGTCGCCCGGGGCGTCACAGGGCAAATATAAGTCTTTTTAGACATTTCAAATGGACCACAACATACATATGTATATAGACATATTTTAGAGTGTGCCTTCACTCATTTTGCTCCGTATATAACCACTTGTTGAAATATCTGGAAAGACTTATATTTGGAAACGGAGGGAGTAGTTATTAGTGTCATGTGGGATAGCACACCACTAATAGCTTCGCTCCACTAATTGGCTCACTATTCCCTTCTCTTCTCCCTTCTTATTTTCTTCCTCCTCTCCCCTTCTTCTTCAAAGCTCCAACTTTCCCCATGATAATTAATTAGGGAAATTCCACCACAGTTCATCAAATTGTCTGCAAATGCCCTGACAATGCTGCCCGGAGACCTCTTGCCATCCAACATTGTACATCAATCGTCTGCGGCCCGATCCGGTCGTCCAAAATTTGCCAAATCGGTAGCAAACTCATGGGAGGTTTTGAGAGTCTGGACGCTCGCCATGTCGAAGTCCAACACACATGGGGCATCCAAAACCCCTCTTCCGGAGCCCTTTTACCCCATTCGCAACCCCTTGCTCTGTATTCGCACCACCAAGATCACCTCCATCGCTATACCACTCTGGCTACCGCCCAGGCCTTGCCGGATCTCCGGTGCTCCACCCAGGAACTTTACACTTCCTCATTGTTTGGATCCAGTCCTAGCTGTTAGGAAACGTAGTAATTTCAAAAAAAATCCTATGCACACGCAAGATCATGGTGATGCATAGCAACGAGAGGGGAGAGTGTTGTCCACGTACCCTCGTAGACCGAAAGCGGAAGCGTTAGAACAACGCGGTTGATGTAATCGTACGTCTTCATGGCCCGACCGATCAAGCACCGAAACTACGGCACCTCCGAGTTCTAGCACACGTTCAACTCGATGACGTTCCCCGTACTCTGATCCACCAGAATGTCGGGGAAGAGTTTCGTCAGCACGATGGCGTGGTGACGATCTTGATGTTCTACCGTCGCAGGGCTTCGCCTAAGCACCGCTACAATATTATCGAGGACTATGGTGGAGGGGGGCACCGCACACGGCTAAGAGATCAAGAGATCAATTGTTGTGTCTCTGGGGTGCCCCCTTCCCCCGTGTATAAAGGAGTGGAGGAGGGGGCCGACCAAGGGGGTGGGGCGCCCTAGGGGGGGAGTCCAACCCCAAGCGGGAGTAGGACTCCCCCTTTCCTATTAGGAGAGGGAGAGGGAAGGAAGAGGGGGAGGAAGAAGGAAAGGGGGGCTGGCCCCCTTCCCAATTCGGATTGGGCTTGGGGGGGCCTCCTTTGCTTCTTCTCCCTCCTTTCCACTAAGGCCTAATAAGGCCCATATACCTTCGGGGGGGATTCCGATAACCTCCCGGAGCTCCGATATTGTCCCAATCTCACTCGGAGCCTTTCCGGTGTCCAAATATAGTCGTCCAATATATCGATCTTTATGTCTCGACCATTTCGAGACTCCTCATCAAGTCTGTGATCACATCCAGGACTCCAAACAACCTTCAGTACATCAAAACTCATAAACTCGTAATAAAACTGTCAACGAAACCTTAAGCGTGCGGACCCTACGGGTTCGAGAACTATGTAGACATGACCGAGACTCGTTTCCGGTCAATAACCAATAGCGGAACCTGGATGCTCATATTGGCTCCTACATATTCTACGAAGATCTTTATCGGTCAAACCGCATAACAACATACGTTGTTCCCTTTATCATCGGTATGTTACTTGTCCGAGATTCGATCGTCGGTATCCAATACCTAGTTCAATCTCGTTACCGGCAAGTCTCTTTACTCGTTACGTAATGCACCATTCCGTAACTAACTCATTAGCTACATTGCTTGCAAGGCTTGTAGTGATGTGCATTACCGAGAGGGCCCAGAGATACCTCTCCGACAATTCGAGTGACAAAACCTAATCTCGAAATACGCCAACTCAACATGTACCTTTGGAAACACCTGTAGAGCTCCTTTATAATCACCAAGTTACATTTGGACGTTTGGTAGCACACAAAGTGTTCCTCCGGTAAATGGGAGTTGCATAATCTCATAGTTCAAGGAACATGTATAAGTCATGAAGAAAGCAATAGCAACATACTAAATGATCAAGTGCTAGGCTAAGGGAATGGGTCATGTCAATCACATCATTCTCCTAATGATGTGATCCCGTTAATCAAATGACAACTCATCTCTATGGTTAGGAAACATAACCATCTTTGATTAATGAGCTAGTCAAGTAGAGGCATACTAGTGACATTAAGTTTGTCTATGTATTCACACATGTATTATGTTTCCGGTTAATACAATTCTAGCATGAATAATAAACATTTATCATGATATGAGGAAATAAATAATAATTTATTATTGCCTCTAGGGCATATTTCCTTCAATCTCCCGCTTGCACCAGAGTCAATAATGTAGATTACACAGTAATGATTCTAACACCCATGGAGTCTTGGTGCTGATCATGTTTTGCTCGTGGAAGAGGCTTAGTCAATGGGTCTGCAACATTTAGATCCGTATGTATCTTGCATATCTCTATGTCTCCCACCTGGACTTGGTCCCGGATGGAATTGAAGCGTCTCTTGATGTGCTTGGTCCTCTTGTGAAATCTGGATTCCTTTCCAAGGCAATTGCACCAGTATTGTCACAGAAGATCTTCACTGGTCCTGATGCACTAGGTATGACACCTAGATCGGAAATGAACTCCTTCATCCAGACTCCTTCATTTGTTGCTTCCGAAGTAGCTATGTACTCCGCTTCGCATGTAGATCCCGCCACGACGCTTTGTTTAGAACTGCACCAACTG